TATCGAGTAAAGGAGTTTTCCTCGAAATCCTATCCTTGAGACCCCAGTCACCCCTTTTGTTTGACTTATACTGTATAATTTTCGAATAGAAAAATTTCATTTCATTCCATAAAAGTATTATATCTGAATTTAACACAAATTTTCGTAGGCCTATGTGAGAAAGAGATGCCCACTGGTTTAGGTTGATACGGATACCTTTTGGATTAGAGCTTCCGCCGGTTAGCCCTAACCTAAGCCGGTGAATTGCTCAGACCATTTACACTTGTGGACAAAAGAAAGTACTCTTTCCCATAAAGTGATATTATATTCCACCATTTGAAACTGATCTTTTGAGTGCATGACAATCTTAGTGAATCCTGATTGCAAACATCATCACGCCCTCAATTGGTTGAAGCTTGCTGAAGATATCACTTGCGCATTGTCATCACCTTACGAAAGCCATATCGAGATCATTTTTCGACATTTACTTTCGTGCAGCTCGTCATTCAGAGGCTAAAAAATGGAACTGTTACTATTAATATTTTGTTGGGAAATAGAGAAGATCCGAAGTTCACATTGAAAACTTCTACCAAGTAGAAAACCCTTGTAGTCAGTTCAGAATCAATAACTTGAGCTAAAATCAATTAATGCAGCTGAAAATAGTGGCAATGACTCATTATCAAGCCACAAGTTTATGGTGAGAAATATTCGAAGCTGTAGCTCTATGCAGAGCTAAGATAGTCGTTGGAAAAGTTTACCACGGCCCAGTTTCTATATCAAATTAGCTACGGTATTATGCAGTGAGCTTTGGACCCAAGCAACTAGGTATGCACGGCAACAATTAACACCAAAAACAAAGTCAAAAATTCATTTTAGGAGGACGAAGGTGCGAAATCAAAGTTTTCAAGGTGATGTTTCTCTTCAATTTCTTCGATAACCTCCTGGTAGCGCATCTATGCATGATATACTTCTACGTTACGAAGCATTTCATCTCAAAACCATATTGCTGACTTCAAAGAGTTTCTGCTACATGGAATCAACCCTGTGCACACATTCTCTAGATTATTCTGACTAAAGAAATGGAGTATTTCTGGAAAGATGAGTATAAATCTATTTGTATGTCACAGTTCTGCGCGCTTATAAGCCGTGCCAATGGTCTATTGAACAAATGAAGAAAAAAATATCATCTTTAAAACTGTTAATTCGCAGTTTCTTCGTCTTAAAATGAACTTTTGTTTCTTTTATACTAGTTGTCGCCATCGATACTTAATTGATTGAATCCAAAACTTATCACATGATATAGTAGCCTCCTTGATATACAAGCTATGGCGTGGTAACCTCTTCCAACAGCTCTATCTGAGCTCTATACAGAGTTACAGCTCTAAATACTTTGCCATACACTTGTGACTTGATAATGAGTCATTGCTACCATTTTCAGCTGCATTCATTGGTTTTAGTTCAAGTTATTAGTTCTAAACTGACAACAAGAGTTTTCTAATTGGTAGAAGTATTCAATGCGAACTTCAGATCTCCTCTATTTCCCAACAAAATTTAACTAGTAACAGCTCCATTTCTGAGCTTTCGAACGACGGGTTACACGAAAATAAATATAGAAACATGATCGAGACATGAGTTTCGTAAGGTGATGGCAATGTACAAGTGATATTTTCAGCAAGCATCAACCAACTAAAGGCGTGGTGATGTTTGCGATCAGGATTCACGGAGATCGACATGCACTCAAAAGGTGAGTTCGAAATGATGGAATATAGTATCACTCTAGGAGAGGAGTATCTACTTTTGTCTACAACTGTATACAATCCCACATCCGACTCACTCATAAAAAGTTTCATATAGGTTTTGTGAATTAACTGAATAGCCATCTTTAAGCTAACCTATTAGATAATCCATATTTGATAAAAATTACTTATGCGCAGGTTGTTCGATGGGTGTGTCATTCGAATACGAATTTTAGATCAAGTCAAATCCATATTGATCTCAATGAAACAATGTGGTCGTATCTTAATGAAATTTCTGTACGAAAGCTAATTTTTAATAGTATTAGGGAGTGCTTCCAATCTCTCTTATTAACGGAATACTTTTGAAAACAAATGAGATATTTATATTCATTGCATCTGGGACCATTTGAATTATAAAGGCCCATGATAGAATGCCGAAGAATATTTTTTTCGATATCTGATGGTATTCCATGTGTAAACATTTGGGTTGTGATAAAGTACCAAATCAAAGTTGTGAAAAGTATTGAGAGATTCAATGCTGACTCTCTCTGTGATAAAATTAAACTGGAATTTTTCGAAGCCTTCGATCAGTATTTCGACGCAACTTCTAGCGTATTAGAATGAGATCAATGTCTAATAATAAACTAATACATCAATAACCGTCAACTGCATACTTCACTTTATTTTACTTTATTTTTCGGATAAAGTAGACTTACTTTACCTTATCCAGTAAAGTAAAGTAAAGTAAAGAAATTAACTTTACTTTATTAAAGTAAAATAAAGCTAAAGTGTCACCCCTATTGGTAGATTGAACATTTAGAAACACTTTTTAGTCAAATGCGAAAAATCTATAAAGTATCTAACGGTTCCTATAACATACTGATAGCAGGATACCCTGGACTCAGTGCATTCACTAAGGTTGCTAGTTCTGCGTATAAATATAAAAATACTGCATTTATGAGAACTAATACAAAAGTAATCTAGTGCTGATAAGCAAAATTTTATTCTTTTGCAATTTACATGCCGATTTTTGCAAGAATTCAGTTTACTCATCTGTGTGTATTATTGCTTCGTTTTTAACGATATAGATTTGTTCTGCTATTCATTGACCGAAAAAAACTTGTTGTTTTTTTTTGTTTTTTTTATTTTTCAAATAGTTGTTAGCATTCATATCTGATAATAATCAGACGTTATTATATACTTCAATTTTGAATACAGTCCGAGTTAAGTAGATAGTTGA